ACCAAGAATAAACCAAGCAGGTATGAAGAGCATTTTATGAAGGTCTTACATTCTACTGACACCTATAATTCGAAGGCTTGTTAAGGGGACGGTGATATGAATATAAACTGTTAAACCTAAGTCGGCCCGCAAGTAGTTAGGGGTCAGTGCGTTAATATTAATGTTAATATGTATAAACATTTTTTAATGGAAAGCAGTCCAGACATGGGCATGGTATGAACATTATAGGTCCTGATAAAACAACACATTAATGAACACTGCAAAATGTCCCATTGGAAGTGAAATATCTTTAACTGACCTTAATTATTTGAACTTATTTTGAACTTATAGTGAAATTCTATACTCCGAAAATCATTCACACAAGGAATTGAATTCAAGGACGTTTTTAAAAACTACAAGCTAAGCTGTCTGTATTTTTCTAAGCGACTGAAAGTTCACTTATTAATAACAATGAGATCCATCATGTTTCCAACACCAGGATTGGCTCTGGGACGGTTATTTGCGCGTGAATTAGTTTATGGTTATATTTAACATTGCGCTGCATCTACCACAGTCTCTCCCCCTTCAACCAATTCAGCCCGATATTCGAACGAAGTCCAGAAAGCCTGTAGCGAGATGGGAGCAGTGGCCCTTTAATCCGACCACTTCGTATCCACTTGCCACACACGCCTGACTCCCGCACGAGGAATCAGGTCTCAACACACAAACAAGAAAAAGGAGATTCTGACCCCAACCAATTGGGAATGCCATAGCGGCCACATTGAGTTGAGCTATTGCAGCCTGAGACTCCCCCCCCCCCGTGAAGAGGGCCCAACCAACACTCGTTCGTTGTCATTTTTCATGGGCACAGTTTTTGTGTCTTCATTCATCTGACGCGAACATTGGGTGCAGATGGCTGACAGAGCTGGGGACCCCGTTTACGCGTGCCACGCACGACTCGACTCCCCAAACAACGTCAGATTTTCACACGCTGACCGCTGAGAAAACACATAGTGTTTTAGCTTTGAATGTTTGCCTTTTAGTCGGCCGGGGGCAGACACCAACCCAAGTCCCTTGCCGAAGTAAGCAGACTTCCGAAAATAGGAGCTCTGATGAGCCAACCAAGTGCCTGTGCGCTCCGAAAGGTGCTGGCTGATAGCAGAACATGGAAAATATTTTCTGCAGTCATAATTAGGTGACAAAATTACTTGCTTCTCCTTAGCGCAAGAGGCCTGAGCAGGAACGCCCCTCCAGTAACGCTAGAATGCATGCCCAAATAGAATTATACCTTTTTAGCATTGCGAAATGCCATACTAGCAGTGTGGGTGCCAGCTAAAAGCCCCGGACAGACGTGTTTCGCGGATATTCTGCCGCTGCATGACACAGCTGCGAGGTGTGGGTTCCCGAGCATTCCCCGTAGGCCTTCTGGTAGATACCCAAGTTTAGAAATTGTCGTTTTTTATTTTGGTCTGAGATTAACTGCTAACGTGGAGTAAATTAGTTTATACTAAGGTTTATAGGTGGAGGCCGAAATTTGACGTGTGAATATTGGCGTCGAAGTCCATCAGCCACAGCGGGATGACTGCCAACAGCGGGATTAACTGCCAACAGAGAGCTAGTAGTATATTTTAACGTGGCAAGTTCCAGTATTAGAAGCACAGACACCAGTTAAAAGCCCAGACACGTGTGTTTTGCCGATATTCTGCCGCTGCATGGCAAAGCTGTCGGGGGTTAAGGTCGTCAGTGCGTCGTGAAGCGAAAAACTAAGACCCCTAGTAATTTTTTACGCTGTATATAATTGGCTGCGTTTCCTTATTGGCGCTGTTTGACAAGAAATAGTTTCCAGTGGCTTCCTCATAGCAAAGGAACTTCACTTCTTGAAATAATAACTTTTCCTAAAATTTGAGTAGGTTGGGAAGAGTTAACATATACTCAGAAAAGGAAGGAATTCATCTAAACTGCCGCACACCTGACTACTCTACAAATCGGCACAATCTGACCGATAGGGACATAGTTTGTCTCCACAGACCGCCTATGTACAGACAGTCGAAAACATCACAGTATGGTCGGCTGACCATCTTTTCTATGGTGGGGGATCTTGCTGGCTAATAAACGAAGTCGAAATCAAATATTTACCTCCAGCTTGAATAAAATAGGGCACAGCTTGATATGTATAGGGTCGTGTTAGTAGATGGATACTCCACAGCCGATTCGTACATAAATCTTATAGTGGTTACCTCTTTCAGAAAATTCTGCTATGCGATCCGTCATTGTAAAGTTATAAACACAGGACGCATTCTGAGCCCTCCTGCTAAATTCACCTGCCGACTTAAACAGACTACCCCTTTCCTCTGCTACGATTTCGCATGCAAGAACTCACTAAGACGCTTTTGCAGAATAAATCAACAATTTATAGAACTGATGCCTATTCACGTAGTGGTCAACGGATTATCCTAAATATATGTAGTAATTCATGCTTGACTGTTCAAAACTTGACGATGCGAGAGAACATTGGAACATGAATTTGATGCTTTTTCCATTGCAAATAACAAACTGTGCCAATTCAGTCAACAGGACATAGGATGCAGTTCGCATACCGAAGTAAGGACTGATCTTGAGAAAATCCCCTAACATCTACTGTCTTTAACATGAACAAAGAAAAAGTGTTAAAAACTGCGTCAGGACTGATTGACGAAATAGGGCATCCCAGGAACGATTAGTGCCGACAGTGGGGAAATCAGATCTTTTAACGAGCCGGATTAAAATGGTTGCAACTGAAGGATCTCTCAGGCTTGGGAAGAGTGTCTACGGAGGAAATGATATGCACAGTATTTCTAGCAGACTGAATCATGAGCCTGAGGCGTGTCCATCAGGTAAGCAGATGGACCAATCAACAAATCGGCGGATGTGGCCAATAAGCATCGCTGATATCTCCAGATGATGACTGCTGTGGTATGGCCGACAATGGCCAATCCTAAGGTTATTCTGTACACGAAGACTATTGGCGAGGCAAAGCGATGACGTATAATGTGACCTCCAAGGCAAATTACAAAAGCCCAGAGAAGGCTTTTTGGTCAATTTAAAGATGAGTTCGACCCGAGTGAACGTTTTTTAAACATGTTCTGGTGTGGGGAATTGTCCTGCCCATGTTAGTTTACAAGGTTGTTGACTATTCCTGTCAATTACGATTATTGTACTTCGTTGGTTCATGTCACCGTGACGTTGTATCGTGCTAGCATTCAGTCCACGTTGAATCCAAGTGCTTTTTTCAGACCAGTTAGACTTTTCTTCGTGTGCAAACCCTGAAATAAAACCATTCATAGAGAATTGTACAAAACCCTACAAAAAATGTAAGTTGTCGAATACGTTAACAAATGTCCATATCGTCGAGCAGTCATCTAATCACGAACGGCCAGAAGGTCAAATGTAAACATTGTGTTATTTTTTATAATAGTTGTTGACAAGAAAATGTGTGAGTACGGTTTTGAGGGCAAGTAAAAATATGACATCCCCCACTGCTCGCTGATTCCGAATGGACTTCATCGAGATCAGCTTTATCTAGCGAACATTTTTGACAAATAGTGTGTACAACATTAGTGCAAAAGGGCAGAATCCGTTTTTTCCTAATGTTAACAACTATGTGCTGTTTTTAACTAAATTTGATGGTTCTTCCTCAGCTACTAATTTACCAAATACGATGGACACTGCCTCAAGGCATTTGCCCCATAATATCAAAAACTTTGTATTTTTACGGAAACGTCCGTAAGATTATTTTGCAAATTCTACCCAAAACCGTCTTTTTGTTAAGTCGAGAGAAGGATCAGCGCGGTTGCTTTTACGCTCCTAGGAAATGCATTTAACATCCTGTCAATAATTTAAAAGATCATTATCCATGTAAATGTATTGCTCTGTTGCTGATTTGCTGAAAACATGTGTTTGCCAACTGACTTTTAAATAAAATGCAGTCAAAAATATACAGACCGTCACAGACAAGGTAGCATGATTTATTTACGTCTTCTTCCACATGTTTTGTTACTCATAAGAAAACGCTTTAACGGAAGCATGGCAAGGGCTTCGTTTTTTACGGAATGCCATGTACGTATTTTGCCAGGGACGATTACAGGCGACGATCAACCCTGCCCGAAATAAAGGACAAAGAACTGGCATTAATTACAACAAACATAGATGACATGAAACAGGAACTGGAGGAGTTGGAAAGAAAACAACGTCGTCGAATGGCTGCTCTTCAGAAAGCCGAAGAGGAGCAGCGACTAAGAGAGGTGGCGGAACGTGAAGAACAGCTAGCCAGGGAACGCCAAGCGCGTCAGGAGCAAGAGAGGTTAGTTTATTAATTTGCGCGTACATTGCTACTTTTGTTAAGTACGTAGTATTAATTAAAGACTATAAATAACCTCGAGCGTTATGTGCCTCGCGCCACCGCCGCCGCCGGGATATTGAGTCCAGCCATGCATGAAAGAAGACTCATTGAGCTTCTGTGTTCGATAGCAATAAAATAAGTATAAGTTAACTTGTAAGAGTGGGACTGGTTCGTTTCCAAAACACCACCAAATGACCATATTTCTGAGCGTTGGAAGTACATTATCTAAGTAACTTTAGAAAGACAACTGTGGTCGCGACAAATCTGAGAAGCGCCTATAGTCGTAGTGCGCTTATCCGAGCTTTTCCCTGATAACTGAAATAAATGCCATTGTTGAATGGCTCTAGTAATTAGTTTACGTCTGGCGGAAATGCGAACGTTGATAAGGAAGTAGTGTAAGCATCTAACCAACTCCTACAGACGATTCTATAACAAAGTCAGTTAGGACCGCATGCATTACACAAAAATGGAAATCCGGACTGATCCCTGGTTTATCATAGACCAACATAAATCAGTTTTTTTGTCGCCAACTGCGTTAGCTTAAGTTGGCCCAGGTAAAATTTTACATATTCGAAAAATGCATATGAAGAATTCGCCTGAGAAAGCGAGCTCAGAATACTAATAGTGAGTGGCACCTTCAGATGTTGTTTAAATTAACTCCAACTTTTTGTTTCAAACGTAAAACTAGGATCGCTTGTTCAGATGCGGACAGCAGCTGCTTTTTAAGAAGTATGTGCTTCTGTTTAAAACAACCCTATCCTTTACGACCGACTTAAGGCTAGGTGCGATCACATTTCCTGCCACCGATCGACAGTACTTTATTTATGCTTACTGGACTGTTCCGAATGGATTCAATGTCCAGGAGCATCTCCTTCTGCCTCAGCCGAGAAGTGTATCTAATCAATTCAGACAACAGATGCCGAAAAGAAAATTTAAAACAGCATGTTTAACTGTCCGATGTCAAAGATGGTTAATATTAGTGATTACGAAACAAATGAAGTCTGGAACTGCCTTTGGTAATAACGACAGATGACAGAATTACATAGCAGCCGCTCAAGTTCATGCTTTAGGGAGACATAAAGTAGGTGCGCTAACTCATTAGGTGTTAACCGAAATTCAGAAATGCATTCTTGTTTTAAAAAGATTGGTTAAGCAGGATTGTAAAAATAATCATCCTGCAGCGCAATTCTATAATAATTAAGTTACCCCTGGAAGCCGGTTTTCGAAAGAACTTCTTCCGGGCCGCGTGCAAAAAGTCACACTGTGAAGAATGATTGCATAAGTAGCATTAGTTTTTCTCATTGATTTTTCATGCCCTTGAAAGTTTAACTATTTTTCATTCTTTTACTCATTTAGTGGAGAGTGACGTCTTCTTCCTATTTTATCCTCGAAGGAAGGGTATAATTAGGTTTTAAAAAGTTTCCAACTGTGAGATTTTGTAATACCGTGAAGTATTTGACAGGCAGCAGACATCCACGTTGTACTGATAAAGGCTGCGTGTGGTCAGACTGCGGGCACCAGGGTCCAGGAACGTTCGCACATTCCAGCATCCAATACCGGGTGTCCGTCCACGATTGAGTAGTCCAGCTCGCATACTATTCGCCCGCACCACTGGACCACGGTTGCGGAGCGCGTCGGTTCCCGAGGACGCCGTAGCATGGGTCGTAATACTGCGATCGGACATATTTCATGAGGTTTCTTGGGAATTTCGAATACGGGCGGGTCCCCAACAGCCGCTCGGATTGTTAGTTCGAGGTTGTCTCCTCTAGCGCTTTGGCTTAAAAACCTACCCACAAGGCAGCGGTGGCAAGTAAATTTATTTAATGGCGGTTTACGGTCGCCATGTCACGATGCCGTCATTGGGTTTTGCGGATTTTTATAAGGCTTTCAGCGTGCAAGACCTCAGCCCATCGCACCCTGATGGCAATGTCGTTGCTGGTCCGCGACTGCTTATTCGTCAGACCTGGGTCTGCTTTTTTCGCAGCTAACCTTCACTGAAGGTCGTCCCACTATCCGCCACCTGTGGACGCGCCGGGTAGCCAGCAGTTAGGCTTACGGGCAACCCGTCTTCCCGGGTGAAGGAGCCGTTCGTCGAATATCTTGTCTCTGCACTTACTAGTGAGGTTCGAATCCACTGCTAAATAGGCAGAATGATATTACCGACAAAGACAAGGGAGACTGGAATGGCTATTTCTGGCTTATTAGCCGTCGTCAGCCAGCCATACCCAAGCCCGAAGTGTGGAACACCCGAGCCTCGAACTCGCGACCTGTTGGGTTAGAAGTCAACGCCTCTACTCACCGGGCCACGAGCCTGCTAAATTTCATGAGTCCCATATACTCTCCTCTTAATATTGTAGAGAAATGTATGATATTCCTTGCGTAGAAAATATACGGCTTGCAGCTTGGAAAACCTGAATGCAAGTGAAACGGCAGGTCGTGAACAAAATTATTCGATATTTGGAAACGTTTTTGAAAACAGAGTTATGTCCTTCCTCTTTCTCTCGTCAACCAGTCAACCCGAAGTGTGTAACACTCGAGGCTCGGACTCGCGACCTGTTAGTTAGAAGTCCACACCTCTAATCACTGGGCCACTAACCACTGTCGGTAATAACATACTGCCTATATAATGCGTCGCTGTGAGGCTGCTGGCTGGGCTCGAAAGAGAGCCCGTAAGGCACAACGGAACGAGTGAGTTCCGTAAGAACGATCGGTGAGCGTCCCCTACCATTGTTCATTCCCGACAAAACGCCGGATCGGAAGTCAATGGACTACGCTTTCTCTTCCCTCTCTTATACTCTAAAGACTTGTCCGATCCAAATGTCAGAGAAAAAATCAGAAGCAGTTGTTGCCCTGCCATTAACTAAACTTCTATCGCGTTTCCTACAATGACCTAATCCTTTAGAATTGAGAGATGCCATGAAGGCCACGCTGAGGAGGAGTTTTTGTGTTCTGATCCTCTTTCCAACATAAGTTCGAATTATCCCTTTAACTGACAGTCTTCTAGGCCGCGACTGTTAACATGTATTTTCCACCAAATTGAATTTATGGGAGTGAGGACAGCTGGACACCCCAGGACATAAACCACGATCGCTTGTTTTGCTCATGTATATACATTTCCAAACCTGTCAGTCGACTGGTATTGATCTTCGGCTCATTGACCCAGGTTTCCTGCAAGTTTTATGGTTTCGTCTTATTACTTCACTCGGATAGAGCCTCGCTCAATCCTGACGAAACGGAATTATCCCGCATATCGTTGTCTGTCAACGTCTGGGTCATTTTAAGAAATAGCTAGCTCAGTGCTGGGGAGCATAGAATTATCACGCTAGACCACAACTCTTAACACACCGTTTTAGTTTCAATCATGTCGGAGTCATTATAATGAGGGGTGCTCTAATGTGCGCGCTAGAGCTGGATTCTCCAATTTCGGTCGCATTCTCGTCCCTCTTCCGAACCTGATGATGAGATTAGCCGCGGTGAGTGGCACAGTTTGAAGGCACAGGTCCAGGGTGTCACATCCATGTACGACAGTAGTTAAGCCCTCACGCAAGCCCATCACAGCCTGAGAAACTCGTGCTGTAAGCCAGCGTGGACCCAATTTAGGTCCAGCACGCCTTCAGGACAGTCCGTTATAGGGCATTCAGCACTGAATTACTTTAAGTTCCCGCCCCATTTAGGGGTCTGGTGCATGCAACGTTTTGACGAGTGTTTTGCTCAGTTTTGCCTATCCATCTGAGCTACGTTTTCCACACGTCCATTTCCATCCCCTCCAAGGAGAGCGCTGGACTTGCAAGCTGAGTTGGACAGAGCGACCGCAGCGCTAGAGAAGGCGAAGAGAGACTTGGAGGAGGCCCGTGCTGAGTGGGCCAAAATGATGTCCGACAAGGAAGCGCAGCTGGAGGAATCCAAACAGCGACTCATCGACCTCGCCAACTCCACGGCCGGTGACCAGGCTGCCCTCGACGCTGAACGCCAGCGTCTGCAGGACGACATTCGACGTATGCAGGCGGAGATGGCGCAGCTGATGCGTGAGTGGGAGGCCAAGGAGGCGGACTTGCTACGACAACGCGATGAGGCTCTGAAGAAGCAGGTCGAAGTCAAGAAGGTTCTCACTAGTGAGATTGGTGTGGGTGTTCGTATGCTTAGTCTGTGAGTTTCCTCTTTAACCCTCTACTTTCTTTGCATTCTAATGAGTTACTTTCCCTGATGTAACGGACAACGCGTTAGCCAACCTTATTATACTTTGGTCAGATGTTTGATTTTTCCACAAATGTTCGTTCAGTAGAGGAATTAAAGTTACAAAATGCATTGCTCCGAAATAGATGAACGAATTGCATTAGTACTATGAATTTACTGATATTATATGGACAGGTAAGTGCAGTGAAGAACATTTACGCTTAATTGGCTGAATTTTGCCCTTCTTAGTCCCCTTCGTCTTCTCCGAAAGAGTTAGATGCGTCTTTGTGCCTCTATCTACGATGGTCAATCATTACGTTAGGTCTTGGAAGAATTCTTGCCGTGTACATTACTCAGTGCAGCTCCTGCAACATTTAAAAATGTCGCCAAGTCATACTGTAACGTCGGACTCGAAAAAATATCCTAGTAAGTATTTGTAGGAGAAAAACAGCAGCTTAAAGGAACCTAAGTGAGGACTCGTAAATGAGTGCTGAACTAACGTATCACATACACTAAGGAGGAGTTGAAATGATTTGGCGTCAGGTTTGCAAAAATATTAAAAGATGAAATGTCATAAGGAGGTGTGGGTTGACTAAAATCACAACCAGTCTTCGGTTGCCCCAACTGGAACGCTACACTGTAGAGTGAAATTTGGGAACTGATATTACACTTGGCCGGAAGAAAAGCAACAGTGTTAAGGCCATTAGAAGGCATCACTGAGAACCTAGAGTTAACAGCTTAACAACTAGAAAGGTCTAAGGAAAGGAGTGAAATTTTCAGGTTGCAGTCAACTTTGTCGGTTTGTAACAGCTATAGGGGCGAGTTTCTTAAAAAAATGGACTTTTACCGCCTGTCTGTGGCAGGTTGCACTGCTAAATGACTCGCTTTGGAGATGTATCTCTTGCCGTACATAAGCATACCAGCATTCCATACTGTCGTTTCTGGCACGTCATCCCACATGTGAGGGGTCCGGAATACAGATGCAAATACTTGGATTGTCCTTCCTATGTAACCCTTTTTGACTCTTGAGTAATTTACTACTTATATTATGTCTACCGCGAATGGAACCTCCCACTTTGCGGAAGCTTGCGAATCTATATTTTCAAAATAAGGTTACATCCTCTCTCTCTCTCAGTAAGCCAAATTAATTTCACCTTTAACATGTAACAATGAAAATGACTCCTAACTACCTAATAAAAAATATATTCCTTCTACTAACGCGTCTTTAGACCACAGGTAAGTTATTGACAGTACACTCTGTAAGCACGTAGCTTCTTGTTCAAAGGACTGCCTGCTGAGTGTTCTTCTGTTTTAACCCTCCACGTAGATTTCAAGCACACTTTTAATGGCCCCGAATATTTTTTTCTTAAAATGTTTTTTTTGGGAATTTCAGCCTCAGTTGGTCCCAGAACCCGTGGTTGAAGATACTGGTGGTAAGTATCCTATCTCCTAAATCAGCGCTTAAGAGGCATTTTGAAGATAAACCAAGGATTAAGCATTTGGTCTGTTTACCTAGTAATTTAATTACCTAATCCGTGTTATAGAATATAATGTAGGGAGATTTCATAATATGGAACATTCTAAATTGCAGTGAGTACAGTTAGTGACCTAACTCATGAAATATGTCGAAATTTACGAATGATTGCCAATTACGCGCAAACCGACACCATTTCATGAGTCAAATGTCTATGTTAATTAAGTACAAGTCTAAAAGAATTAAAAACATAAAAGAAATATTATAGGCAGTGTTACGTTGTTTGGAAATGTCTATTTATTTTGGAAAGCGCAATATCCCGAAAACGTCAGAAATGGCTGTAAATAAGTAATGTTCGTTTTTAGGTGTATAGAGTGTATTCTCCTATCAAACACGTAGTAAATATGAAAGAAGACATAAAATAACGCCTAATAGCAGTGTTTTAGTGAAGTTCACAGCTAAATATCGTTTACTAAGTAGTGTGACTTCAAGTATGACGGTTTATGAACTGCCTACATTCTGGGTGTAGATTCCAAAACAGTTTTCCAGTGTTTCATAAGTTTCATGACTTTTTGGAGTTAAATGAGATAAGGGT